AAAACAGATGGCAAACTTTGAACTTCTGGACCCAATTTGTGTTTGCCTTTGTCTTCTTAACAGCCAAACTGTAAATGATGGAGTATAAATATTCAGCAGAGGAGCTCTTTATGAAAGTCACCATGGCAGAGAATAGACCCCATTAACCAAATACGCACTGAAAATTTTCATCCTTTTCAAGTTCCCGTTAGTAAGCGGCACAGTCACAGCCAGAAGGCAGAATCCCTTTTCTGCCTCTTTCTCATCCACCCATTCTTAGTTCTCCGACCCATAATGTCTAGAGAGAAGTCTCTCTAGATGCAGAGCAAGACTTGAGTTTTCCAACTTTATTTAGTGTTTTCATTCTCTCTGAATCTTTCTAGTCCACCCTTTCTGTCATTGGCGTCCCAGCATAGACTAGTCAGTTCCCTGGCCTCACCTGCAAGGATGAGGGTCTCTCTTCTGGTACCAGTAAGGGACTCTGGTAGCATAGGGTGCTAACAGAAAGGTCAGTGGTTCAAATCCATTAGCTGCTCTGCAGGAGAAAAATGGGCAGTCTCCTCACCTCATAAAGATTTACACCCTGGAAACTTAATAGCGGGTCACCATGGTTAACAGCATGGCTTTTCTTTTGTTTTAAAGCAGTTGGTGGATTGACTGTGTTTGCAATTGTGCCTGTAATTGAGTATGACTTACAGTGACTCCATGAATAGCCGATCTGAAGTCTGTCTTATCCCGTGCCGTCCTCATCATTTCTGACACACGTGAGGTCATTGCTGCAGTAACTGTGTCAGTCCGTCTCAGTGAGGAGCGTTTTCTTTTTTTGGCGACCCTTCTCAAGGAATAGCCTCTCTTAGCAGTTAGCCCAAAGTGTGTGAAAGGAAGCTTTATCATCTTTGCCTCCAAGGAGCATTCTGGCTGTACCTTCTCCCAGACATACCTGTTTGTTCTTTTGGCTGTCCATATGTAGTGCTCTTACCAGAAGCATTGATGATTCTTGTCATCCTTATTCCCTGCCCAACTCTCAGATAATGTGGCAAGTAATTGAAAATATCATGGCCTAAATCAGACCCAGTTTAGTTTTCAGACTGACACCGTCGCTTTTCAAGCATTTCAGTGAGCTCCCTCACAACAGACTTACCCACTGCAGTGTGTTTCCTGATTTGTGGATTCTTGGTACCAAGGATATTATTGAGTGTGGATCCAAGTGTTTTTGTTTGGTTTTTTGGTTTGTACCTAGGCGCCCCCACCCCCGAGTTCCCCGAGTTGAATTTATTGAGTTCTGACCTTTTATGTGCGAAGTAGAAAACTTCCTTCAAGTTGCCAAAGCAGATCAATAACATTCTGAAACAAGAGTATGTGCCTGTGTGTGCATAAGGCATGCAGACCCCTTGCAGGAGGAATGGTAAACATCCTGTGTGTCTACTGCCTGGGCTGCCCCTTAGAAGACCCCTGGGCCCCCCTTGGTCAGGAATGTGTCCTATAAACATTTAGACAGCGTGACAGCCTCTACGGCCTCCCTGACGTGTCTCTTCTCCAGAATAACTGTGCCTAAGAGTTTGAGTCCTTCCAGACTGACCTTCAAAAAGGTACTTAGGCAGATAACATGCACGTTCCAAGTGTCCTTCAGAGGCACACAAGAGTAAGAGCGAGGTGTACCCTGCCTCCTGTGTGCCTCTCGCCCCCGGGACTGACGAGCAGCTGGTGTCACGCACAGACACCTGGTCAGTGCTGGCCACGCTCTTTGTAAAGCAGAGGTCTGCGACCACCGGTCCGTGTAGATCCGCCCCGTCTGTCTGCTAACGAGGACCGTGCTGCCGCATGGCTGAGCTGTAATTGCTTTAACTAGCACTCAGGCATGGGGCTGGCTAATGAGGGCGTGCGCACCGGGTCATTCAGACTCATGCAGCCTGAGTGTGGCTTCTCAGCTTTTCCTGTCAGTCTAATTCCTTAATAGGTACTTGTGTGTTCCTCAGGTTGTGCCCGATACACTTACGTATGTGTTCTGATTAGCACTCACTGACCAGGAGTGATGCCTTTCATTACGTTGGAGGAAATCTCAACTATTAATTGTTTAAATATTGCCTCTTAGCATATACCCCCCCCCCCTTCTGAGACTTCCGTTGGATACACACTGGCCATCTTCCATGCTTTCAAACCCCTCATTAATTTTTTTTTTCACTTTTCTCTGAGACTTAAGTAACTAATGAGTATAATTTCTGGGATGATACAGTGATTCATATAAGTCTTATATGGCTTTTTTTCTGAAGCAGACCCCTGGGTCTTGGAACTGGTACCCCACCTGCCAGCACTTGGAGCCCAGGAAAGCTTCCTGTTTGGTGAACTCAGCAGTGAATTTAAGGATGTTGTATTTTATCTGACGTGATTCACAGAAGTTGCCTTGTCAGGTTACCTAGTTAACAAGCTGCCTGAAACAGAAGTCTTTACCTTTTGCTATTGAAAGCAGCCTTTCGTGTGCACGCACGTGTAGAGTGATCACAGATCAGCATCTCCATGTGGAATAGTGGGGTCAGGCGCGAGTGTAGGTTATATTTGATTGGATCTTGCCACATCACTTCCCAGAGAGAGACATGTGCTCATGCCAGGGTATAAAATCCCCTTCTCACCACCAGAGTGGCGTGCCGGATTTTATTTTCTAATTTCTTTTACAGTCATGCTTGATAAACATTCTACATGGTTAAAAAAAACCCTTAGTATTTTTCTACAAACCGCTTCAATCTCCCCCTCTCCATTTTCATATTAGGCTGTTTTTATTGTTAATTTTAAGTAATTAGTTTTTGTGTTACAGTAATTTTTCCTAGTTTAATATTTGCCTTGATGGGGAAAACGAAACTTCTAAATGTACATTTATCTTTCCTGATTTGCAGTGTCCCAGAGCTTAGAAAGGTCTTACCTGCTCTGAAGTTTTTATAGGTTCAATTATGTTTAATTCTCTGAGCTCTAAGAATTGATTTTGATTCAATATATGTAACTAGAGATTTAAGTTGAAAACTTTTCTATTTTAACTGCTCTTCTCAGTAAACTATACAGTCACATTCTTAAACTCGTGGTTGGCTCTACATATGTGTGGCCTTGAGAATATGCATTTCTACTGGATTCTGATTATTACTGAAGTCTCCTAGACTGCACTCTCATTTTCCTTTTTTGTTTAGCTGTGGATCTTGTGTGCATCAGTTGTGAGTGCTGCATCCTTGGAACAGGCTGTATGACGCTCCTTGTGTGGGATGGTCTTGTCAGGGGCCATTGAGTCTGTTCAACAGAACAGTAGCGCTGGTCCTGAGCCATGAGGCGGCTTTAGCACTGACGGAGAGGAGAGCTCCTGTCCTCGTTCCCTGTGCTGGAAGAGTTCACTCAGGCTTCCAAATTTAGTGATTTAAATTACTCAGGGAAATGGAATTGAGAGAAGTGGTTAGGCCATTGTAATTTTGCTTTGTTTTCCTGACCCATTTTCCTAAACCTTTACTAAAACAGTACGTTTGTCATTGTATATTATTAAGCTTAATCTAATACTGCGAAGGCTTTTCTGATTCTAAATTTGTAGCTTGCTGTGTATCTGAAAGTTGGACAGTGACTAAGGATGACAAAAGAATCATTTGTTTTTGAATTGTGGTGTTAGGAGAGAGTGCAATGAAGCTATTCTTTGGAGGCAAAGATGGTGACGCTATACCTTTAAGCGTGTTGTATGGAGGGGGGGGCAAATCCTTAGAGACATCATGCTTGGAAAGGTGGAGGGGCAGCATGAAAGAGAAAAACCCTCTGTGAGCTAGAATGACTGTAGCAGGGGGCTTGTGTGTCAGGTGATGAGGAAAGAGCAGGGTGAGAGCCAATGCTGACAGTCGCTGTGAGTCACAGATGACTCGCTAGGACCTAAGAAAATTGTAGCCTCTCTCCTTGTCATTTTTGTGTAGCAGATACTGAGCTTTCAGTTCTGCTTAAAACGCTCCTGTCATTAGGTTGGCTCTCACCTTTGACTCTTAGGGGGTTGGTAACTACTTTCACCTTGATCTTTAGCCTTCAACATGTTGCAGGATATCCACATGGAGCTTACTTGGTGGTACATGGTACCTTTTAAATAATTCCTAGATGAACTTGTGTGTGTCCGTACAACCAGGGGCCAGGTGTTGTGTTCTGTTCTAGTGTGTTAGATCATCTCTGTTCTCCAGCTGCCTACTTAACGATAGGGCTTTTTCAGGACTGCGGCTGGCCCACCCTTCTCTGACCTGTTGCTGAGAACCTAGAAAGTTAACCTGTACTTAAGATTTTGCCAAATTCTAGGTCTTAAGCCTTATTTCAGAATCAAGTATGTTAGTGTTTTTGATGTGCAGGATAGTTCAGGGCCCTGTGGGTGGCCTGACCACCAAGTTCCTAACGTTGGACTAGGACCCACATTCTCTCCTCCCCGATGTTTCTATATGGACTGGGGAGAAACAGGATATACTTGTATACAAGTTATTTTGAAAGAAATTCACATTATTGCCGATTAAGTCAAGGCTTTAGGTTAAGTGTCCACTATTCTAGGGACATCCTTCCCTAGATTTCACCAAGTTGGTGATGCAGATCCCAAAATGTTCTGTTTCCTCCCAGGTAAGGGTTTTAATTAAAGCTGATTTACCTCCTGCTATGAATAGAATGTAATGGTGGTCGGACGTGGTCTTCACAAGTCGTGATGTCTGTCTGCAGGGACTGGCCGCTTCTGACAGCAGCCCCACAGCATGTGAGACGAAGCGTCCTCTCTGGAGGAACGCTCTGGCCATCCCTGATTTCATATTCTTCACTAGCACCTTAAATGACGGTTGGGCAGGAAACATCCGCGCTCTCAGGCGCCTCTCGTGTGGTGTCACGATGCCAGTCAGCCGCTTCGTCGGGCCAGCTTGTCTTCCCTGTGAGGGAGAAAGGGAGCGTCAGCACAGCAGTGTCCTCTCTTCCAGTGCTTTTCAACGACCCTGAGCACTCTGAACTAGGGAGATCTCAGGATGTCTGCTCCTCCTGTTTCCCCCCAGGGTGAGGATCCACGACCTGCGCACCGATAAAATCGCCCTGTCGCTCGCCGCCCACCAGCTCGGCGTGTCTTCCGTCCAGATGGACGACTGGAAGATCGTCAGTGGAGGCGAGGAGGGCCTCGTGACTGTGTGGGATTACCGCATGAGCCAGAAGCTGTGGGAGGTCCACTCCAGGTAAGGTCTGCTGTGTGCTGGGCACCTCCCTTCTCACACAAAGAGAGGAGGCTCGGGAGTGGCCAGCAGCTCAGAGACACACAGTCCCTTGTCTTGCAATTGACATCGCCAGTACCCACCCCCAGTGATGGGGCGGGTCTAGCTTTCTCTAAGAACAGGACTTTTCACAACCACTGTTATGGTTATTTTAGGATTTGTCCATTTTAGAAAAGTAGAGACTAACTAAAAATGTAGGAAGCCAGCTGGTGGCCATGTTGTGACTGAGGTTCAGGCAGAGGTAGGTGCAGGGTTAGGGTTAGGGTTAACCCTAACCCTAACCCTCCCAACCCTGTGACTTCGCAAAGGCACATTAGAACTCAGTATGTACAGCCTTCACTATGGGTGATTTTAACCATAATTTTTAAAAGGCTAAGACGATGGATGGGGTCTGGTGTGTCAGAGTGAGGACAGGGCTGCTGCTGTGAGTCCCAGGCACCTTAGTAAAGTAGATGGCATCCCCCGCACGGGGACACTGGCAGTGCCTGGGTTACAGACCACCCCTCCCTGTAGCCACCCTGCTGGTGGGTACTGCCCAGTCGAGTGTAACCCCTAGTGACCATGTGAACAACAGATCTGAATCCTCAGTCTCTGACACGCTTGAGCCCCCTGCTGCCCTCCTTAAAACAGAATCGTGATTTGCACAGCTTTTTACGCCTTGAAAAAAAAGGCTTCAAGACTTTTCTTACTAGAATAAAGGCTACACGCAGCATTCCGTGGACCTACAGATCCTAAAATGCCCAGTTAGAGACAGTTCTCTGAGAACTCGTGTAGGTTAAATATTTGCATCTGCTCTTATCTATTCAGGCAGCTAGCCCAGGGTGGAACGATCTTCCCTTGGCCACAGTCTCCTACGCAAACTCACCTAGAGGCACAAAAATTGGTTTCTTCAGTAGAGGGCAGCGTTATAGTTCTTCCCGACTGGCGGGTGTCCACTGCCCAGCCTGTCCCTTCCTCACAGCGAACAAATGGATTTGCCCTTTGAAGATTTTGTGCTGATGCAAGGAGTTGCCACCAGGTGGCGCCAAAAGGCAATGAAAACTCTAGCACTTGTTTCAAGAGCATCTGCGTTTCACTGCTTTATCTATGCATATCCCCCAGAAACGAAGCTGCACTTACCTCCAGCCCACTTCAGTTTTCTGCCTCACTGTCCTCCCATCTTTTCAGCATCCCTGGAGTGGGGCCCTCCTTGGCCAACTCCACAAGCAGTTTGGGGTCTCCATGTCTGGACCTTGGCGCTCAGCTCCATCTTCTGAAAGACAGAGTGTTTCCACCTCCAAGAGTTCGGTTATTGAAGCCTCTCCCTTTACAGATGCCACGAAACACTCCCCTCCCTCTGCAGAGGGGCCGAATCATAGTGCTGGGCACAGTGACAGGTGGCCATGGGACCTGAGAGGACGCTTGTGTTCCCTGAGGATGTGCTCCATGTCGGGGGGGCCTCACCTTTGTGTTGCAGGCATCCCGTTCGCCACATCGCCTTCAACAGCCACAGCCTCATCACAGCCAACGTGCCCTATGAACGGGTGGTGCGCAACGCCGACCTGGACGCCTTCACCACACACAGGAGGTCAGCCGTGGGGCAGAGTGGGCTAAACATGAGCGTGTGATTTTAAGTCCATGCCACACTGTCCCACCAGGACATGTCCTCGGCCTGTGGCTCCTTCCAGAGGAGGTTGTTTTAGATGTCCACATGGTGGGTGGCACTGGCTCGTGCCAGGGCAGTGCTTGCTTGATGCTCTGCTCCCACGGTGGTGCTGAAGGGGCTAAAGCACAGTCCTCACACGTACCCAGCTTGGGGATCAGAGGTGGTCACTGTCCTGAACCCTGTCCCTCTGCAGGCACCGGGGGCTGATCCACGCCTACGAGTTCGCAGTGGACCAGCTGGCCTTCCAGAGCGCCCTGCCCATCTGCCGTTCACCTTACAGCACCATGACGGGCTACAGCTATGACCACGCACTCAGCTTCCCCTACGATAGTGCCCGGGAGTGAACACGGCAGGAGCAGGGAGAAAAGGAGACTTGGTGTTGGGATCAACGCACCGGGAGCTGTATGCCACCGAGAAAATGGGGTACCATCGTGTGCACTTCCTTCTCGGCGCACCCTCTTTCCTGACTCCTTTCTCTCCCAGCTCTCCAAAGGGGGACACCCCTGACCTGTGTGGTATATCCACATATGACCTTTAGAAGTATGCGCCCCGCCCCCAGCTGCAAAGCCCCAGCACCTCCCTGAACTCTGCTCTTCACTGTGGGGAAGGTCTTCTGTAAGTCCACCCTGATAGGAATATTGATTATCTACAGCCTTTACCATTGTGTCATCAATGGCTCTTGCGTCTGTAAGTTATGACCCAGAGTAGTCACTGGATATTTAGTGTGTATCTGAGTCCCATCCTCCCCTTGGACGGTGACTCCACTGCCTAGATAAAGACATTCATTTCCAGAATACAACGTGCACAAGCCGTCATACTGCTCATAAGCCAACCTCGTAAGCTGTCCAAATACCAAAACAGAAACAAAAACTATACATCAGTAATGACGGAGGGCTTGTCTAACAAACAGCCTATAACATATAGGTATTTTGTAGGCCAGGCATGAAGGCCACAAAACTAAAGTCAGAGTCTACCCAGAAAGATCCACTTGTCTGTCCAGTCAGAAATGGAGAAAGTGTACGAGGAAACACACACCTAATAATTCCCGACACTGGGCGCAGCCCCGAGGAGCTGTGATTTGACAGACTCCAACGACCTGAGCTGGCCCTTGGAAAGCAGCGAATACCGAGGCCAACACCACACGTTAATGAGGCAAATCCAATAGATGGAACATTCCTCCCTCCAGATTCCACAGCAGTTTTTAGGCGAGACAGAGAAGAGGTGATAGAATACACCCAGGTATGCAGCAGGGGCCTCAGCGCTCACCCTAACCCGGGAGAGCTTGCTGGGCAGGGCGTGCTACCCCTCACAGGCCGTCATTTATTTCAGACTTACTCTTGGTGGGGCCTGAGTCCCCTCAAACAGAGAGCTAGACTTCAGAAAGCAAAGCCCATCTCTTACTCCCTGGCCCCCTGTGTGGTGGCCTGGTCTCCCATGACCTCACTTTACAAGGCTGTAATCAGCCCTGATGCAGCCCACACCTGAACCACAGGCCAACACATTTTTCTCCTTTTCAAAGAGCAGCCACAAGCTGTCCAGGTTCACATATCCTGGCAGCAGTTTAAGGATTGAAAAGAAAACAGGCCCCAGATGCTTTTACCAAAATTAACCAACACTGCTTGTTACCTACAATTAACAAATGGCCCCAGGTCACAGTGTTACCAGCACAGCCTGTGCCTGGCTGTTCAGAACCGCACTCATTCAAGAAAACTTACCTGGGTTCCAAGGACAATTGACTGGGCCTGAACCAGAAGCGGCACCGTGCCTGCCTTCCGTCTGCCGCCGTTCACCCAGGGAGGACAAACGTCCCCTTGTCCCCAACATTCACTTAGGCACTGAAGAATGGCCCGTAGCCAACCCAGCCCCCGCGGGCCCCTCACCTTTATCGCCGCTGATGGTTCTGAGGGTCGCCTTCACAAGCTGTGTCTGGATTTTAGCAGCTCTGCTGTCAGCTTAAGCTCTTCTGCTTCCCAAACTCTTCAACCCGCCATCTCTCAAAGACAGAACGGACTCAGAGAAGTCGTTCTGCAGGGAAGCCACTGGCAGATCCCACAGCTCGGGTCCTAACCTCCTACCATTGTGTCTTTCTGCATTCTACTTTATAACATATCCATACTTGTCCTTGTATTAAAGCTCTGCCTTTTATTGCGTGTTTGGTCTGCTCCCAACACTACGCTGAGCCCCTGCCCCCTCTGCCAAAGTCAGTCTCGCCCAGGACATGGTGACCCTCCAGAGGTGAATCATTTGTCTAGGTCCCTCCGCCACAGTCCCCGAGTATGCAAAATTATTTGAAATTGCACTTGGGTCTTTTTCTGGGCAAGAGAATCGTCTGTGACATGACTGTCTCAAAGGGAGCTACTAGTCCTGTGAGAATCCCATTCTCACACCAAATTGTGTTTTTCAAGCCACAAGCTGCCTGACTTGAGGCAATTGCCCAGAGAATAAACAACATTAAAGAGATTCTTAGGAGGACACTCCCTTCTCAGCTTACTTCTTAGATTTTAGCCGCTCAAAGGAAAAACCAAGACTAGAAGTTTGGTCCTTTCTGATAAAGTGGACAGGCCCCAGGTGGAAGGCCTACCTCGACGCCCAGGAGGGCTAACTGCCAGATGACCTTGTGTCATCTCCAGCCCATGGCAACCCCTGAGTGCCCGCGGGGGAGGTGGGGCCTGAGGCGTCCCTGAACCACACACGTAACTGCCACTCAAGGACATCCTAACCACAGATGGCCCCGAGTCCAGTGGATGATGTTCCCATTTTTCACGTGGAATCACAGACCTGGGCTGTGGAGAAGCGGCTTTTCCCTGCTCACGGCTCGGCCTTCTCTGGACGAACCCGCCCGGTGGCCCGCTATTGTGGGGAGATGGTGACAGTGTGCTTGGCGAGGCTGTCCCCTCCCTGAGCAGCAGCTGCGGTGGAGCCTGACGGTGCTGGCCAGGCCAGATGGTTACCTGGCTGCCACCACGGGCCTGCAGCGATTCTGGACAGGGCCTGCCTCCTGTGCAGGCTGGCACAGCGGCTCATGCCGGACTGCGGTGGGTGCCATGTGGGCGCTGCGCACGCCTGGCCCCTGTAAGAGTGGGCTTCCAGCAGCGGGCACCTGCCTGCTGGGCATCGGGGCCACCTTTCCCAGGAAAAGGGGAACACATGCGCCTGGTGGAGCCTGTGTTGTCTTTATAGCCCTGAGCTAGGTCCTCGCTGCCAGATCGGCAGAGCGCAGGGGCAGAGCTGCCCCCACCAGGCCCAGCTTGTCCAGATTCTAGAAGCGTTTAGAGGCGCAGCTCTGCAAACATGCAGCAGAGAAGCTGGCCCATCCCCGTGGACGCCCAAGGTCACCGTGTGGGCGGACAGCCCGCCAGGCAGGTGTCTGCAGGGCCCTCACCAAGGCAACTTGTATTTTTAACTCCTTTCAGCCCCATAATGTCACACTGCTCCCTTCCCTGCATGGGGGAGTCGGCTTCGACCTCGTCAACTGCATGCAGGCAGGTGGGGACAGGTTCAGGGCTCAGGGCCAACCATCAGATCCCCGTTAGTAAAGTGCACACAGACGACTCCAGCCCTCGCAACAAAGAGTCACGGAATTGTTTAAGTCGAGTAATAATTCATTCCCTAAGAGGGTGCCTGGCCAGAGCTGGAGGCTGTTGTAATCGTACCCTGTTCCCCTTATCCATAATTCATGGCTGACGGCGCAGAGCGTGTGCTCCCCAAACATATCAGATTTCCATTACGCAGCCCTCTGTTGAAACACCCCCAATTACAGGTTTGCGTCAAACCACCAGATTCTTAACATCCAAAAGCCCACTTCTGGGCTGTAGAGGGCCACTTTCTGGAGCGGGCGAGGGAATACGGAGGAGGGGACAGTGGGGAGCCAGCGCCTGGCTGGCACCACCCATGGCCTGGGCCCTCGAGGACTAAGTTATCAGCTTCCTTCAAATATTTGTCTCCAGTTATTTCTGCCCATTTCCTCTTAATCAGCAGTGCCATTTCTGATAGGAGCAGTTGCACTTGTTACATTTGTCCCCTGCTGGGTCTAGAACAATTTTCAGAGCAAACACTTCGTTGCTGTGAGCTGCCCTGGCCTAGTCCTCCTGACTGCTGGGTGGCGAGTCCATGACTCCTTCAACCACCGGAACACACAAACACGACCCCGTCACACGGGACATGGCAGGTGGCCCAGGACACCCAGAGTCACGTCTGTGTGGGGTTGAGCACCCCCATTACAGAGACAGCCCCCTTGGGGTGTCATTGAACAATTCACTTTCTTGTGACCAAGGTAGTAGACTCGCCTCACGGGACAAATCTAATTAGCCGTCGAGGGAGGCCAGGAGCCACACCACCACGGCCACCAGGCTCTGCCCTCTGTGTCTCAGTGAGTGGACAGGCTTCACCTTTCCCCATGGTGACCACATTTCTCAGCTGGAACCCTGGGCCCAATGGGATGCTATTCAGAAAAATGTTTTTACATTGGTGAACTAACTACCAACAAAATAAATGCAAACTTGGAAAGTGCCAGAAAACCCGGGATCCTGTGGTGGCCGGGCCAGGCTGGAGGAGCACCCCACAGTACAAACAGGTTCACAGGCTCCTCTCTTAACATCTCACACCCCTTGAGGGAACCAGGGCTTCACCTCGGGCAACGCACTGTGCAAATGTCAGACGTGCCGGATGACCCTCATCGTGCGGCCCAGGAGAGGCGTCAGAGGCTCACTTGTGGACCCCAAGTTGAGCGTGCTGCCACTAAAGTACTGCGTGCCAGGGTGGCTAGTGTGAAAGGTCAAGTCCTGTCCATCCTGGGGGACGTGGCTCCACCCAGGACACTTCAGCCACATGCTTACTAACAAGGTGACCCCGCCAAGACCCTGTTGGCACATTTACTCGTTGGTGAGATGATGCACCGTCACCCACCTCAGGGCTCCAGCAATGCCCACGACTAGTCTCCAGCCACCACAATCTCCAAACTGTCCACCGATACTTCCCCAACTCACCTCATCGCCTGGCTTTGTTTTCCAAATTTAAAGTTACTGTCACCTCATTCTACACATTTACTGTCACCACTTGGCCTTGTCCACAGAGGCTTACGCGATGCTAAGATGTTGAACAGAGGGGTCCAGGAAGAAAGGGCTTCTGACCTACCTCTGAAAACCAGCCAATGAGAAATCCCAACAGCCTGATCCACAGTCAGTCACGGCCAGTGCTGGACAGGCCTGCACCTTCTCGTACCGTTAAGTCCTCACAAACTACGGCATACAGCAACCACCACGGCCTCAACTTTTCTGAGAGATTACCATTTTTCTTACGCTCATTAAGGCTAAAATAGAGAGTAAATGCTCACCGTGTAACGCCCACAGGCACCTCAGGGTGGGTTCCGGCTCACGGGCAGCTTCCTCGGCAGGCGGGCTGGGCGGAAATGGCAGCGCCCACAGCCACGCTGGCTCAGCTCACCACGGTGGGCGGGCAGGTGGCCCGAGAACAGCAGGCATGCTCTGGGGGCCCAGGTATCCCCACGCCAGACAGAGGACCCAGCTCGCTCACACCAGCTGCTCACACTGCCCAGGGGTCAGCACAGTGCCCAGGGCAGGGGTCCCTGTGTCCACCAGTCCTGAGGCTCAGCGCACTTCAGCTCTAACCACCAGGCTGCATGGCTGCGGCAGCGTCCACGACCTCAGGTTGCACGAAGAACTGCTGTGGTACCCAGCGGCTCAGCTCAGCTGCCCCCAGGCCCAATCTTCCCTTCTGGAAGTCTCCACCTGAAACACAGAGCAGACATTACCAACAGCCTTCGCTGTTTAGGAAAAGCGTAAACCCAATGCCGTGGAGTCTGTTCTCCCAGCCACCCACCATCCCCTTCCCAGGGCTGCGAATCTTTAAGGAAGAAGAGGCTCCTCTTACCCCCAGGGAGCATTGGGTGAAACAGTGTTACTGGCTGGCAGCCTTCTGCGTATATATGCTCCGTGTGTACATGCCCTAAACAGTGACACAGTTTTGTCCTTAGCCATTAACCAACAGTTTGGCAGCTTGATCCTCTCAGGGTGCCTTGGAAGAAAGGCCTGGCTAACCATTCCCCAAAGATTTCAGCCCATGGAAACCCTGTTGACACTCACCTGGACAGACGCCTGGAACTCCAAGGGACGCCCTTCCGAATCTGCTTGGCCTCCACCAGGATCACCTATGCTGTGGGCAGACAGATGGCAGCCCCAACCTGAAAGAGACGCCAAAGCCCAGCCAGGAAGAGGCCCTGGAGATGGGACAGGACGAGCTGGATGCACTTCCTCAGGCCGTGTGGGTGGTCAGAGGAAGCCCACCAACCGGCCCTGGCCCCTCCAGAAGAGCCCCTGACCCATATTTAGTGACAACACTTACTTCATGACCCGGAACTGGGAGGGGGGGGAAGGCAGATGAAGCCCCAGCATTTACACAAAAGAGAGAGAGAGGACATCCCAAGATAAATCCCCAATGTCAGAAGGAAACAAATTGGGGGACCCAGCGGCTGCCGTCCACCTCGTGGTCAGGTCACGTGCCAGATCAAGGAACAGATGGACACCAAGGTCATTAACAAACTCACATTTTATTCGAGGTAAAAACAGCAGTGTCCCCCAGCCCAGCCCACAGGAGTGCGGCGACAAGAGCCGGCTAGCTGGCAGGCAGGTGGCGGTGCACCAGTGCTGTGACTGAAGGCCACCCACGGCCGCCCTGCTCAAGGCCACGTGGGGGCGTCCCCACTGCAGAGAGGTGACGGGCGGCCGGTCAGTGGCACAGCGCCATAGTCTCCATGTTCAGGAAGCGGACGTGCATCTTGGTCTCGATGTCGATCCCCTGCCAGATCTGGAACAGCACGGGTGGTGGCATCAGAGGCCACCATCCCCGGCTGCTGCCGCCACCACCCACCTCCTCCCGGCAGAGCCTCGGCGGGTGCACACGGGGGCTGCATCCACGCTGAGCTGGATGGGGGAGAGCACGAACTCGCCCTTTTACTCTGTAAAATGGGCCAAGCACCTGTGCTGCCCATTCCACTCAATGCCAGGGGAGCGGGGGCAATGGAACCCCCAGCTTCCAGCAGGCTGGTGGCTCAGTGACAAGGGGACCGGTATTTGGGTGACATAACCTTCCCGGCATAAGCAACCCTCTGTGTCCTCCACGGAGAAGCGCACCTGCAGGAAAAGTGGTGTCTGCTCTAAGGACACGTCACTCCTGGTCCCGATGGCCGTGGCAAACATCTAGATTGCCAGACGCCCCCACCAAAGGCCCCCGTGAGCCCTTCACTGTGTTCATGCAGCCTCATGGTGGCACAGACCAGATGCCACCAAGGGAGGATGGAGAGAGCAGAGCTGAGGGTGATGTGGGCAGTGATGTCAGAGTCTCTGCTTGGGTGACTTCGGATGTTCCAGCTGTCACTCTCGGCCTCTCTGGGCACAGCCACGGGGTGGAATAGGGAGTCAGTACCCCTGGGCATGCAGGGATCGGGGTGCCCTCCAGGCATTCTTGCCCCATCACATGGTCCACCTGCACTCAATGCAGCGCTCTGAGGACGTGGAGGGGAGTAGCTAGCCTCCCTCGCTGGGGACAGACTACTCTAAGGGACAGGCTTCAGGATGCCCAGAGCAGACACCCAGAGGGGTCTGCTAACTGTTGGTAGGGTACACGTCCACTATGGTGGGTGCTAGGGGGCTCCAGAGAAGAGAAAAATGAGGTGGCAGGCGCAGGCCCAGGGCAGTGACCGAGGAAAGGCCAGGCTTTGGGGAAGCCAGCTGGTTCTTAGTAAAAATGCCTCATCCCCTTCTCCTGGCTGGAGGAATGGGTAAATTTCATCTTCCCTGCCTCCTAGCTCGTTTCCCAGGGGTATCCCCCACCCACACAGATCAGGACCTACCAGGCACTGTGGCCTCGCGCACACAGCTCCCCCGTCCCCACAGGCCCTGGGGCCGGGTACCTGTGTGGGATGAAGGTGGCAGCCCCCACCTCTTCCCTCAGGCTGTTTATTGGTGGCAGTGCCAACCTGGCACCGTCAAGGAGGGCTTGGACGGTCTCTGGGCCTCTCAACTCCACAGAGCAGTCCCACAGAAGGCCACTCGGTCCCCTCCTCATTCAACTGGGGAGGCCTGCCCAGCACAAAGCTCTCCTCTAAGGCCGAGTGGCCTGACCACCAAGTTCCTAACGTTGGACTAGGACCCACATTCTCTCCTCCCCGATGTTTCTATATGGACTGTGTCCCAGCAAGGACTGGGGACAGTGGCACTGGGATGGGGAAGGTCCAGGTCAGGGCAGAGAGCAGGGGGGACGCTTGATCTCCACATGTGGCAGTGGTCACATTCCAAAACATGAAGAGGGCCTGTGACATCAGTCCTCTGGCCAGACAGTGCCCCCCAGGGGGACACTCAGTCAGTGTGCAGCCTTTCTGAAAAGGGACATGATCTCTGCGGACAACAATCCAGATACAACAAGTGAGGAAAAACGGGGGGTCGGCACAAAAGACTCCTATGCACAGAAGTCACCAGATATGACGTGCCCTTGTCACATACGAGTGCTCCTGGCAGGGACCAAGGCGCCAGGCAGCTATACTGTCTGCACGTCAGTTATTCTGACCCTGTGTCCACACTTCCAGCAAAAAAGAACTGTTTCCCAGACTACAAGGGGCTCAGACCCCTTCCGTCTGAGACACGGTCACTGGGAACAGCCCCCCAGTTACGGTAGCTGTGCAGCCACGCCCTCCAGTGCCCCCAACCCCACAATCCCCCTCTCCTCCCAGGCACGCACCTTCAGGAAATCTTCGAAGGTGATCCCCTCGTACACCTGGTCAGGCTCCTGGGGACGAGAGCACAGGACAGACGTGAGCAGTCCCTGGTGCTCGCCTAGCTTCGGCCATCCCCGAGATCCCCATGCAAATGGCTGGGACTGTTTGGAGCGGTCACAAGAAGAGGGGGGTCTGGCTTGGTGGTCTGCCACCAACCAGCACACACACCAGGTGGCTTGCTCTCCATCGTCCCTGCTCCAGGCTGGAGGGTGCAACCCAACAAGTATAGCAGCAACATAGTCTCAGGAGCACCCCCCTCTTCTCACTGTACCCCTAACCTGTGCACTGGGGTGAAGAGTGCCCAGCATCCCTCCCACAAAAGCCCCCCTGCCATGTCCACAGCCTTCTCAGGAATCCTGCACTGAGATCCATTCAACAGACTCCAACTTCTGTCAACCTGTAAGGTCATAGAAGAACTCTGGCCCTCCCACTTTTCAATGGTTAATTTTTTTTTTCAATGGTTAATTTTTCAGAAAATAACCAGGCCTTTCTTGTGAGGGGGCTCTGGGTGAACCTGAACTTCTGACCTTCTAGTAAGCAGTCCATTTGCTACACTCAGACTCTGATAAGAACTGGCTTATCTGAGCCGTGGCACCACGGAAGGGGCAGGAGATAAAGGAGCTGGCTGGGCCACCTGGTTCCAAGGCCCAGTGAGTCATAATGATAAAGGCCTGGTATAGACACGGGGGGGCCTGGCCTCAATCGGGCACCCCTCCCTGCCCTGTCTGCTTGGCAGTGTTGGTCTCCACCTGCAAGACGTCTCCCCTGCTTTGGCACACAGGGTCCCCATGTGGCAATAAAGAGGCTCCTGTCCTTTACACGGCCACACTTGGGCTCCAGCACGGGCCAGCCTTTGAGAATGTCTGCCCGCAGCACCCTCTGTGATGGGTAAACACAGCTCACTGCCCCAGTGTCTGTAGACAGAGACTGTCAACACCGCTCGACCTCTGTATGCTAATGACCACCACTTGGCCCTTAAGGTTGAGCCATACGTGCCAAGGTGGGAAAAGATTCCGGAAATCTACGCTGAGCAAAAAAATCTGTGGCATCCAAGGTGGTCTGCAGGTCATCACCACGTGCCAATCACCAGACCTGCCTCTCCATGATGAGCCCTGAGGCCAGACAGCGCAGGAGAGGAAGGATTGATTCAGTGACTGGGATAATTGGGATGGGTGTGTCAGAGATGGTGCGGTTGGCACAGGACAGAGCGGAGTTTAGGGCTGTTGTACACAGGGTCGCTATGAGTTGCAAGCGACGCGACGGCACATAACAACATAACAACAAACCTGGAATCCGATCACACCAAAAAGATGACGTCTGTGTGTTATCTACTGCAGAGGGGGCTTGCCCCAAGTGGTCCCCTTCAGAGCAGAGGCCTTGGGGAGGGGTGGAGAGAGAATCCACTGTCCTGGGGTACCTCACTGATCTTTCTGCACGTTAAGTGACAGTGGGGACCCAGGTGCCTGCCGTGGCACACGTGGCCCCAGTTCAGTGGCCTTCTGCGGCAGCCCACACAAACCTCCCAGCAGCCCCTGCTCTTGTTCCCATTTCACAGGTTTAGAGATGGCGAGTAATTTAATCAAGCACCGTTTCTCAGTCACAAAAAAACAAATATTGCACAGGGCCACTGCTGTAAATGAGAACTGACATCAGGGTTGAGGGAAGACAGAAAAGGTGGGGAGAATGATGTATATTGCATTGAAACAGATGAAGGAGAGAACTGTTTAAGAGGGACATAAGAACGGGTATTTTTGTCATTACAGGAATCCAGAGTGAAGGCTGCACAGTGGAGTGGACTTGGGCGGAGGGACTGCATAACATGAAAAGAGTTTTTCTTTTTCTTTTCAAGGAGAAGAATGAATTGAGGGGGCCAGGGAGAAAAGTGTAACAATGAATAACTGGGAAACCTAAGTCTCTAAACTTTCATTAAAATTAATAAAAAAATATAAGCAGCGTTTAGTTGGGGAGCCCTTCTCTCCCCCCCAGTTTCTTCATTTATGGAGTAAGTGGGAGCAAAATGAAGAGGCTGGTTTCTCAGACACCAGTGGCCTGACAACCCCCTTAACTCAGAGCCAGACAGAAAAAAACCACACAGGCCCAAGGAGTGACCGCTGGGGACAAGCTCAGCATGTGGCCCCCTCGGTGAATGGGCTTGGACACAGAAAACAGGTCCCAGGGTGCACCCAGCCCCACCTGTAGTCGTGACTCACGTTCACACGGCCATGAGGAGTCTGTAGACATGACCGCGTTAAATGAATTCACAGGCGTGAAGAGGTGAGAGCCGTGGAGACAGTGGACACGCCAGTGAGATGAGGCCACCAAGACGCCAGCATGTCCTTGTGGTTCTTAACCAGGGTGGATTCCTCCCCGGCGCCTGCATGCCAGGTCTGGGGACTTTTCGCTTGTCACACTCAGAGCGTGCTGGCGGCATGGTAGTGGACGGAGGCCTGGGACACGGTCCTACACCCTGCATGGCCCCAGCTAAGCTCCACAACAGAGAACTTTCAGACCCCACATGACACCCCTCGATTTGATTGTCCAAATCCACCAACAAAATGACAGCCCCGTTTCTGGGAGCCGGCACAGCCTCTCCTATGCTCACGTGGCCCCAGCAATTCTCAATACATTGGTTTATGTCACGTGCTGGCCCCCTGCTACCCACCATCCACACAACAGCTCTCCCCAGGCCTCCTGCTTGGGAGACAGGGGGCACTTAAGACTTGCGCACCTACGTCTGACCACCTCCCATCTCTCTCAGGCCAGTGGTGACCTTTCACTCTACACAGTGTGCAAGGCCTGAAGGATCAGCACCCCTCACACGACGCCCCCAGGCCGAGATCGAACAGCTGTCCCCTAGGTGGTGACCCAGCAAAGTTCCTACTCACCTTTCCCTGCCCCCCTATGTCCAGAGGCTCTTGCTAATAAACCACCCACTTCATGCTCGCCTGTGTCATCCGTTGACCAGTGCTGTTGGGGAGCTCCCTCCACCCCTGCTACCTCCTCCAGGGCTGGCTGACAGCACCCCAGATGAAGTCCCCTGAGGTCTCTGTGTCCTGCTCTGGGCCCCAGAGAGAGGTAAATAGGACAAGTGTGTGCCCAATAGGCCTTTAAAAAACACACGCAGGGTAAGGTGGGGCCTGAGCTGGCAGGGAGGGTGGACAGCGGTGGTCCTTCTCCTAAGGACCCTCCGTAAACACCAGCACACACTGGGAGCCAGACACACCACGTGGTGATGGGGAACCACGGCTTCCACCACGTCCAGCCTCTGACTGCACCATGCCATGCCTCGGTGTTCTCGTCTGTGTAATGGGGGTAATAACAGCAGCGTTTCCCCCCCGCAGTGGCCAGAGGGCGCAGCACTCACCATCTGGCCCACGCAGACGCTGGCCGCCTCCATCATGGCCCCGTCTGCGATCGAGCGAGCAGACTCCTTCTCGATGTGGGGGTTTCCTGAGAGCAGCTCCTCCACCACCTGGGGGTGGGGTGCAGAGACCAGCCTCGCACGCGGGGCCCCACGCCGGCCTCGGACGGCGGTGGGCGGGCAAGGGCGGGGAGGGAGCATACTTTACATTTCGATATTCTTCCAGCGTGATCCGCCCGTCGCTGTCGGAGTCATACATGTGGAACAGAACTGGGGGGGAGGGGAGGTCTCGGTCACACAGGGGCCACGAGCCTTCCCATCCCTCACCTTCCTCCACACTGCACCCCTAGAACTGCTATGCAATGAAGGATCCAATACGACCCTAAATGCCACAGCCAGAGGCTGAGGTCTCAGGCCACAAAGCCAGACTGGACATCACTGGGTCTCAGTTTCCCCTTCCGTAAACTACAAAGACTATAATGTTGATGGGCACTTGGAGCAAGACCAGTGGACTGAGGACACGGACGGGCACCACCTGTCACGGGGTGCATGACGCATCATCACCACCCCAGTCATGTTTTCAGGGCCATCACTCCCCACAGGCCTGGGGGTCAGCTGGTCAGTGAGGCCTGGCGGAAGAAGCCTTACCCCAACTGCCACATACCGGACCCTGGGGAGTCTGAGTCACCAGGCTGGGACGCTGGCCCTCCTCTGGTCATTCACTCTAGTGGCACCAGGAGGCCCCTCAGTGACATTCGGGTGTCCCCCGGCCTGAGAGCCAGCACTACCTGGAGCCGCTGGTGAGGTGATCCCGGCCCTGTGGGCTGACCAAGTCTGCCCTGCCCTTATTTCTGGAGAGTGAGCACAGATGTCCTCTATCTGAGCCCCTTGCACCCCGAGACCAGGGCTGCCCTAAGCTCTGTCCCAGACCAAAGTGCTGACAGAGGAGAGGCCTCTGCCTCCTGCCATCCATCAAGGGCGACCCTGGGACTGGACCAGTCTGTCCACTGGGTCACAGCCCCAGTGCCCCCACCTAACCCTGGAAGAGGATGAGAAGCCCAGCAGGGCCTCCCAGGAGGCCATTCCCACGGACACACTCTACAGACAAACACAGCTCTTCTCTCCCCTCACACGACCCTGTGGCTGAGCCGCAGGCGGGGAGAAGTCAGAGGTCATGGGAAAGGCCACTGAGGGAGGGAGACATGGGCGATCCACGGGGCTGAGCTCACAACAGCACAGCTCAGGCACTGAGGGGCCAGATCCACTAGGACCCTGGGTCCCAGGCAGGCCGTCCTGTCTTCAAGCGACCAGGTCCACTAGGACCCCAGGCCCCAGGTAGGCCGTCCTGTATATGAGAGACCAGGTCTACTAGGACCCTAGACACCAGGAAGGCCATCCCGTCTACGAGCGACCAGGTCCACTAGGACCCCGGGCCCCAGGCAGGCCGTCTAGCGTATGAGTGACCAGGTCTACTAGGACCCCGGGTCCCAGGCAGGCCGTCCTGTCTACAAGTGACCAGGTCTATTAAGACCCCGAGTTCTAGGCAAGCCGTCTAGTATATGAGCGACCAGGTCTTCTAGGACCCTGGGTTCCAGGCAGGCTGTCCTGAGTGACCAGGTCCACCAGGACCCCAGGCAGGCCGTCTACTGTATGAGTGACCAGGTCCACTAGGACCCTGGGCCCCAGGCAGGCCGTCCTGAGTGACCAGGTCCACCAGGACACCGGGCCGGCCATCCTGTCTATGAGCCCTGCACTAGGTCAAGAGGGGTGGAGAAAACCAGCGTCCAGAAGCACCTGCCCTCCTGACTCGGGCCAGGTGCATGGAGGTTTGGCCTCAAGGCCACCTCGCCGCTAACCTGGCCACCTGGCCACATCAGGAAGGGCCAGATTTGAACTGAGGTCAGTGTGAACCCCCGCCTCCCTCTCATCAGATCACCTCACACCTCCTCTGTACCCCAGATCCTCAAAAACCACCAAGTGCTAAGAAAAACTAGTGACGAGGAGACCATGGGGCACGCAGGAGGAGGGGGGCCACGCAGGGCTGCAAACCAGAGCCACACTAAGGGGTGGGGGGTCCCCAGCTTTCCTCCGCCGTCCTGACGGCACGCACATCTCAGCTTCTCCTTCCGACACAGCTCCACCTGCTCCTCATCCATGGAGATGTCAATGGGCCGGAAGTAGGACATGATGGTCAGGAAGTCCTCGAAGTTGATCTCCTCGGCCAGGCCGCTGGGCCCTCTGCGCAGGTTCCTGGGGGAGAATGAGGAGGGGGTCACTGGGGAACGATCAAGAGCTAGACTTGGTCCTTCAACTGTCCCCTGTTCTCAGGTCCTTGTCCTTCTGGGCCCCTGGGCCTGGGTTCCCAGGAGGGCATCCCCCAGTGGGGAAACCGAGGCAGTGAGCAGTTCCCCAAGCCCACAAGCAAGCTTCATGAGAACCTTCTGACCCACCCCTCTATATCAGGGGTCATCAAACCGGGGCCAAATATAACCAACACCTACTTTATACAGCCCAAACGCGGTTGAAGGGGCTGTATATTTTCTTTACCTGGGTAAAAAAAAAAGGTAAAAAAAAATTGCAACTGTTTTATAGCATGAGAAACTGCATCAAAGCCTACTTTTTCAGGTCCACAGTTCAAGTGTGATTAGAACACGCCACGCCCATTATTTACATACTGTTCATTCGGGTGGAAGGGGCCCAGCACAGTGCGTCGGCTGCAGTGGGGACAGAACGGCCACAAAGCTGTAAACATTTATTCTCTGGCCAGAACATGTTTACTGACCAAGCCCTCTATCATAGTTTGAGTTCCCGATAAATATGGTGGTTGGTGATCAGTTGCTAATTTATGCCAGAGTTGGCTTTAACAGAAGAGCAAGAGGCAGCGGTGTTTGGCAGAATCTTTGCCACCCACGTACCCAGGTTCGACTCCCGCCCCATGCACCTCCTCCACGGCCACCACCCGTCCGTCCATGGAGGCTTGAGGCCCATGAAGATCAAGAGGTTTCTGTAGACTTTGCAAACACAGAAAGACTAGAAAAAAAGGCTAGAGGTCTACTTCTGAAAGTGTGCCCATGAAATACTGATGAATCATTGTGGTGTGAACTGTAATCACAGGGCCCCGGTTAAGGTCTCTCTGGGACCACGGTCAACGAGGGCAGGTCTGGGTTGTCCTACTGACGTGCTTTCCTGTGAGGACACAGAGGGTTCTGTGCTCTGTCCCAGCGGGACTTGCGGAGTGGACCCAATGTGGGGTCAGCAGAGCAAGTCCAGGGGCTAGGTGTTCAGCAGGACTTGAGAGTGGCCAAGGTGGTCACAGTCATCACCATGTGTCCCCCTGAGAAGATAATGTGGAGATACAAACACACACCCCACCCTCCAGCATCCAGATGACCAACATCAGTCTTCTAAATGACCCACTGGGCCTACTGGAGTGGTCCCCTCCCCTCCCTGTGGTCTCTGAAAAGGGCCCCCACCGAGGACAGGTAGTGCTAAGGGTCCCATCTGAGGTCGCAACTAGACCTCGGTTACAAGGAATGAGATGTCCTCCTGTCTTCAGGGACACACGCGCCCCATCATCACCCAGCGAGGACTCCTGTCCTCCAAGGGTCCCCTGCACCCCACAGTTTTCAGTCTTGCTCTCCTCTATCGCCTCACTCCAGGAGGGAGGTGGATCTCAATCAGGCACAGGTACAGGGGACCAGGGAGGGATGAGAGAAGATGTTTCCTGGGACCCTCTTCTCACGCCTTACAAAGCATTCCTTCCACAGTCTTTACATAGGCAGAGTGGGGTACAAACGTCCCCCGGCTGACAACCCCACTCCCCCTTTAATGTTCTGTCAATCTGCTCTCACTCTGAAACGAATGAGCCGTATCACACACACACTAACTTTCCCTCATATACACCCCCCACACACACAATCCCCAAACACACAAATCCTTCATCATACCCACTTTCATGTGCGGCCTGTACAGCTTTTAAATCACTGAAAAGCTCCAAGCCTTTTCTTGCACTCAAAGCTAAGAACCGTGTGTGTGTGTGTGTGTGTGTGTGTGTGTGAGAGAGAGAGAGAGAGAGAGAGAGAGAGAGATCTCTATGTATATATGTCCGGCTTGCTGAAACTGAGGAGGACCTGAGGCGCATGCTGCAGAAGGTCAAGGATTGCAACCTACTATATGGATTGAAGCTCAACATCAAGAAAACAAAGATTCTAACCACTGGGCCAACTGGCAACATCAGTATGGATGGTGAAGAGACTGGGATAGTTAACAGTTTTTGTTTACTTGGCTCCACAATCA